CCCCTTTTTGGGATTATTTGTTGGGATTAATTTCTCTTTTGGCTGGAATGTACATACAAGTAAAACAATTTTTTTTCCAAAAAAAAACAAAAAAAAAACCAAAAAAACAAAAAAAACTCATCCCCAGAGTCTGACCGGGATGAGCAGTTTTGGGGTGCCCAGCAGCACCTACATGCCCAACACAGAGCCCACACATAGTAGGTGCTCAGCAAAAGCACCTCCTCAAAAACTCACAGAATGCACCCGAGGGCAGGACCGTCCCCCACTCTGGAGTCCCTACTGTTCCCTCACTGCCTCTTCCCTGTGCTGGCTCCTGAGTGTGGGCACAGATGTGTGAATCCTTCATCTGCAGGACAGACTCAGGCTGTGGAGAGTGGGTGTCTTGGAGAATTTTGTCTCCTTATTTCCACTTAAATTTCTTTTTTTTTTTTAAATTTATATATTGAAATTCTGCCAAGGCATATCATGATAAGAATTTCAAAGGAAATTCAAAGGAAGCCTGCCTCCCCTCTGGCCCCATCCCCAGCACCCTCCTGGAGGCAGGCGCTCCCCGCCCTGGTTTCCCCAGCTCCTTCCAGGCACCCCCTAAGTGGGTCAGCACTGCGTGTGTACCCACGGTTTGAGGAGGGGAACGGGAGCATCCAGGATGCACAGTTGCCCCGTTGCATTGAACAAGCCAGCCACCCACTTGGAAGGCGCCAGACACTGCAGGCAGGTCCCCGTTCCTTTCAGGAGGCTCGCAGTTCTATGATGCTCTGCAGATGGAGGGACCAAGGCCTAGAGAGGCTAAGTGGTTGTCCTAGGTCACACGCTGGGGGCTGGGGAGGAGCAGGGGTGGGATTCAGTCCCCTGGAGCTGGCTTCAGAGCTTAGCAGGAGGAGCAGGGCAGGAACAGGGAGGGGGCGAGGCCTCGATGCCATGGGAGTCTGTTGCCCCTGTGGGTCTCCTCCTTCCCACTGTCTTGGCTTCCACCCATGAGCTGTGCAGATCGCCTTGTCCGCAGGCCTTTGCCACTGCTGAGCACACCTGTGCCAGGTGGACACCCCCGTTCCCGCCTCCTCCGGCTTTTCATCTCCCCACCTTGTTCTTTCATTCTGGCCATTCATTTCTGGACATTTCTGGTCAGACGAGAGCCCAGAGGCCACTTCTCCCACCCCTACTTGCCTCACTGGCATTTAACAACGTCTACTGGGGAGGATGGCTTTGGGCTCCAGGGCAGGGACAGGGCCTGATTCCTCCTCAAGTTCGTTTGCCTCAGAAAACCTTTGGCTAAGGCAGTTGATCTCTCAAATGTGGACAGAGAGGCCCACTTGCATCAGAATCCTGGGAGCTGGTAGAAGTGAGTCCAGGAGAGGGCTCGGTGTCTGCAGGGGGTGGTGGGGGAGCCGCATTTGCAAATGGCTAGTCTTTCCCCATCAGGCAATGCCCACGCTGGAGCGGAGCGCTCACTCAGGGGTCCCATAGGGAAGAGGCGACGTGGAGTCACGGGTGCAAATCAGCACAACCACCACCACCAAAGTGGCAGGCACTCTACAGTTTACAACATCCTGTGAGGTGTCCGGTACAGATAGAGCTGATTTTCAAATGTGGACCCGTGAGGCCCAGAGAGGTGAAGTGACTTGCATGCGGTCTCTCTGCCTTCTAGGGGGTTTGGATTGGGATCTGGAACCACTTATCTGTGCCTCGCGGGAAAGTGCTCCACAAGCCCCAGAGGTCAGGAGGCCCACAGGCATTGGGGCCTAAAGTTTGAGCCCTGAAGGGAAGTAGGACGGGACTCCTGGCGTCACCACTCAAGAATGTGTTGCCTGGGAACACGAGCCCGTGCGTCCTGGGGGGCCCTTGTTCCCGGGAATCCTCGAGACGCGGTGGCCTCATGTGCAGTGAAGACAGCACCTCTGATAGTCCCAGGCCCGGTTCTTGCCCCTGGAGACCGTCCTTCCGCTAGGCGGGGCCCTGCAGCGAGCCTGGTGCCTGCTAGCACCACCCCGACACCATCTGTGTTACACCTCCCCGTGGTCCTCAGAAAAGGAAACGATTCTCCCCATTGCACAAATTGAGAAAGCAGGCTCAGAGAGCATCCCTAACCGGTAAAGAGCCAGGATTTGAACCCAGAGCTCATGTGTGTTCCACCCTGCATGATGATTTTGGTGGGGTGAGGTAGTTTGCTCATGTTTTTCTAGCCTCTAATATCCTACAGGCTCCACCACAGAGTCAAAGAGGTAGCTGACTCTTTGGGTTTGCAGTAGAAAGTGTGTCGTGATTAAGGAGTTGTGGATGTTTAGCTCAGAGAGGACCTACGAGGACTAGAATTGTACACCCCAGCCCCAAGAGCTAGAAAGGGGACCATTGCTCAGTGGGACAGGAGTTTAGCTCCAGTCTAAGGAAGAACTTTTATTTTTTTTTAAAGATTTTATTTATCTATTCATGAGAGACACACAGAGAGAGAAAGAGATGCAGAGACACAGGCAGGGGGAGAAGCAGGCTCCATGCAGGAGCCCGATGCGGGATTCGATCCCGGGACTCCAGGATCACACCCTGGGCCAAAGGCAGGTGCTAAACCGCTGAGCCACCCAGAGATCCCTAAGGAGGAACTTTTAAACAGTAGAACTTTCCTGAGATGGAGTGGGCTGGCTGGCAAAGTAGTGAGCTCCCTGTCCTTGGAAGCATGCGCGCTAAGAAAGATACTCACAGGTCAGGAGATTCCTAGACTGGGGGTGGTGGAGGTGATGCACTCAGGGTGTCAAATCTTAGTAAGTTCTGATACTCTAAGTGCCTTCTGAATCCTTAAAGCAACATACAGATCTGCTTTGTGTGCTTTTTTTTTTTTTTAAGCTTGATTTTTTTTGGGGGGGACAATTTTGGGTTCACAGAAAAATTGAGTAGAAAGTACAGAGATTTCCCATATGGCCTCTGCCCCCACAGACACCCAGCCTCCCCCGTGAGCAGCACCCACCAGAAGGGCGCGTTTACGACAGTGAATACCTACAATGACACGTCATTGTCACGCAAAGTCCACGGCGTTCCCTTGTGCCTTCAGGGGTTTGGACAGATGTACAATGACGCGTGTCCATCATGACAGCCTCACAAGAGCAGTTGCGCTGCCCTAAAGATCCTCTGTGCTCTGCAGAGTCATCGCTCCCTCCCCGTGACCCCCAGCAGCTACTGATCTTTCTACAAACTCCATAGTTTTGCCTTTTGCAGAATGTCCCATAATTGAAAATACCTGGGCAGGTAGCCTTTGCAGCTGGGCGTCCGTCACTCAGGACTTCACCCACCCACCCACCCACCCACCCACCCATCCGATTATTCAGCAGATCCATCGTGAGCAGAGCCTGCGTGTCGTCAAGCAGAGTGGGTTCTCAGTGCAGGGGACGCAGCAGCGAGAGCGGGGACAGGGGAGCCCTGCTTTTATTCTGAGGACCGCTCCCTCTGCCCCCCTCTGCCCTTGCGGGCCAGCCACGTTCACTGGGTTAGCAGAGACCACGTGGCAGCTCTTTCCCCTGCTCCGTCCCTACTTGGCCAGTGTCTCTGAAGTTTGGTCTCACCCACAGTCCTTAGATTCCCCAGTGTAGACTCAGCCCATCACCTGAACCTTCCCCTGTGTATCAGGGACAGAGCCAGGGTCCCAAAGAGGCCGAGGCACCGCCCCCATCCCCAACCCCCAGAGAAGGGCTCAGGTTGGTTCTCTCCCTGCTCTGAGACTCCTTCTTTGCCTCCTTCCCAGGCTTGGAGCACGGGATTGCAGGGATTCTGTGAGTGTAGGGCAGGGCTGGAATGGGGCCCTAGGGTTTCGCCTGTGGGGAAGGCATGGGAGCCGTCTTGTTTCCCATGCTTTCCCAAACCTCTCCCCCTGGCTGTTGCCCAGATCTGCCTGCCTTCCACCTCACGCAAGGGGAAGCAGCAAACTCTTTCCTCGGGCTTGTGGGGCTCCCCATCACCCCACTGCTGCCACCATCTAGCAGGACAGGGAATGGCTTTCCTCCAGAGAAGAGGGAGCGGGCACCGTCCTCTGGGGTCGCTCACCCTGGCCCCGGCCCCGGGCCTTCCCTCTTTTCTAGAAGGAATAAAAGGCAGGGTTGGCTCGGGGATCCCCACTGCCCCACACCTGGGCCCAAGCTCCTGCTTCCTGTGCACCCACGCTGCTGGGAGCCACAGCAGGCCTGTGACTCAGGGAGGCGCATCCTAACCTGCCCTGCCGGAGCAACGCCCACTGGCCACCCCAGCCCAGGCTCGTGCAACGACCTGCTCTCAGCGGCCCTCATGGGGCACTGACTGCATATGTGGGCTTTCCCAGGCAGGCACAAGCCCATTTCTACCTTTGTCACCACCCTGCCAAGTCAGCTCAGGAAATGGGGAGAAGGGGGTGGGCATAATTTGCTCAAAAACGTTACCCAGGGCAGGAGAGCAGAGCTGGAACTCCAACCCACGCAAAGCCTGTGCTCTGAACCGGTGTCTGGTTTGAGCCCTCTGGCCTGGACAGCCAGGACCACGACCCGAGGGGCTTTCAGCTGAGTTACCACCCCTCGGCGCACACCAGCAGCACTTACAGACCCTCTCCCACCCGCCCTCTGATTTCACTCCTGCCACCCCAGGAGCCAGCAAGCAGGGTACTTTGCAGACAGAGAGACTGAGGCTCGGAGAGGTTAAGAAACTTGGGTACACAGGGTCTGTGTACAGGGCCCACGAGCACCACAGCTGTGAGTTAGAAGCCGGATTCCGGAGTCTAAACCCCACACCCATCCCTCCTCGCTCCTTGTAGCTGAAGTCCAAGGCAGCTACCCAGAGTCTATACAAATCAAATCGCTAAACTGTTCACACAGATACACACATGCCTGTCTCTACTCAAGAAGAAGACGAACCTAGAACAAACAAGGTAATAATTCCTGCTGCTGGGAGCCTTTCTTGTTACTCATCAGGACTAGAAAAGGAAAGGAACTTTGCCCCAGGACCCAAGGGAACTTTACTCCCAACCCCGGGGAATCAGTCCCTGTGACACTCACCTGCTGGCTCTCTCTTTGTCCTGGGACCTCCTGTCCTCCTGGGACCCCTCTTGCCCAGGGCAAGCCACGTGGGCGCCTCGAGAGCTCCCTCGGTCCTGCAGGACTGCCTGATGTCCTCAGTCCTCCTAGGAGCCGCCAGAGCCGAGCTGAAGTGGTGGAGGGAACAGCTCATCTTTCAAGGGCTGGGTGGTGATGTCACCGCCCTCCTGGGCACTTCCTCCCTCCACCTCCAGCCCAGCCCAGCGCTCCTGCCCAGCGGCCCAGCCAGCCCTGCTACGGTTGGTTTCCAGAACCTACGCCCGCCCGCGGAGCCCGGGCTGGGATTGTTTCAGGAACCCAGGGCTGTGTCTGCCCCGCGAGCCTTGAGAGCTCAATGAGCCACATGGAGGATTTCCAAGTGAGCCCAAGGAATGTTCTATTGTGTAGCCTGGCTGCCTTTCAGAGCCACAGGGTGGCAAATGTGTCCAGGACTCAAAATCAGCAGGTCCTGGATCCCCATCCCTGCACTCGCTTCCCTGCCTAAGGGCCTCGGGAGAGTGGCTTAACCTCTCTGGGCTGGGAGATGGACCCGAGATCGTGACAAGTGTCAGAGGGGTGTGGTGAGGATTAATAACAGCCCTGACACATATATAACTCGTGCTCTGTGTCAGGCACTTTTCTAAGCACGTAAATGGATGGACTCAGCTAATCCTCTCAAGAACCCAGGCAATCTGGCTCCAAAGTTTGTGTTCTGTTCTTTTTTTTTCTTTTTTTTTAAGATTTTTATTTATTTATTTGGCAGAGAGAGCGAGCACAAGCAGGGGAGAATGCAATCCCCAGTGGAATGCAATCACGGATTGAAAAGAAGGTGTGTAGCAGGTTACCTCTAAAACTAGCATTCCTCCTCCTGGCATTGTGCTAGGCGGCTGGCACACTCTGTGAGTGAGTAAGTTCGTCTAAGACAACATTTCTCTCTTATCATTACTTCCCTCACGTGATTGTTTTTACGTCTGAGGTTCAGTGTAAACAGTGAGCCTGCCTCCCAAGTGGCAGAAATGTGGAAACACCTTTGCAGAATGAGCACCTTTCCCTGTCTTGTTTCCCGGCCCCACGTGAGGTTTGTGGGCTCCACCCCACCTGCCCCTGCCACATGTGGGCACGTTTGGCAATGGTTTCCTCCTGCTTCAACATTGATTGGTTTTCTTGGCTTTGCTCTGGAGACTTAGAGGCAATCCGACAATCCAAAGCTGGAAAGTGCAGAGCCTTTCAAATGTACATGTTTTTAAAGTCTTAAAACCTTTCCTTCCAAAAAGACCAGATAAAGCGGGCCGGGGGTGGTGGTGGTGGGAGGGTGCAGGGAGCTGGGGAATAAATAGGAGGGTCAGAACCCTACCCGCTGTCTCCTCTTTCCCTGTCTTCTGAAGCAAGTCTACAAACAGTGGTCAAGTTCCACTCTGTCAACACAGAGGTAGGGAAACTGAGTCCCACAAAGGCGTATCGGGATCCGGGCCTGGTATGGCTGTGGACTGGTTTCATAAACTTGAGTCAAGTCTCTTCCCAGCCTGGATGCCTTGGGTGACTCCCCAGAGTACTGACCTGTCCTACCTACCACATTAGGACTCCTTGACTTCCCAAGAGGGGACAAGGCTCTAGGGAGAGGCTGCACGTAGCCCCTGAGAGCTCTAAAATGGTTTCCAGAATTGTACGTGCATGTCTTGTCCAGGTGAGAGGATCCGTTGCCTTCCTCAATTCCAGAAGACCAAAGCACGTTGAGCTCCATCAGAACAGAGCCCTCGGGAAGTCCCCTGCTGGTACATTCTCGGGTTCCATGTCTATGAGATGAAAATCCTGTGATCTGAATCCAATGTGGACACTTCTGTTGACTGAGAGTTCCAAAACAGCATCCGTCCATCTACGTAGTGTTCCATACACCGCGGTAATGTAGGATTTGAACAATACCATTTCGATCCAGTTTTGAAGTTCTGCTTGGAGGCTGGTCAGTTTTTGTTAGTTCTAGGTTCACACTCTGACACTTCCCTTGCCGGGTTCTTACACTCTGGGCTACTGTGTATCTAACCACTCTGGGGCCACATACCCAGTAACTGTGGACACCCCCCATATCCTGGAACTCCAAACCTTATTCAAATCTTATTACCCAGTCCAAGGGAGCCTGGGAATCCTAGTTAACCCCGCCGTGCTGCTCCCTGTGGCTCCAGCTTGCTGCCACCCTGTCCTTGGGTACAACCCCTTGTGTGGACCTGCCTGGGAGCCTCCTCACATTTGGAACTAAAGTAACAAAAAGTTCTATCTTTCATCCATACAATTAGCATTGTGTTGTGTCTTGCCATCAAACAAACTTTAAATTTGTTTCACTCTTTCTTTTGCCTACAGCTGTATCTACCCATTTAACCAACTATCCATCTCTCTCTCCATCCATCCATCCATCCATCCATCCATCCATCCATCCATCCATCCACCAATTCACCCACCCATTCATTCACTAGCCCATCCATCCATCCATCCATCCATCCATCCATCCATCCATCCATCCACTCACTCACCCACTTATCCAGCTACTCACCTACTCATAAATCAGACATCCCCATAGCTAGGCTGTGCATTGTTAGACAGCAGTGAATGCATCAGACGCACCCTTGCCTGGGAGGAGCCTGCCACTGAGGCCAGCTTGCTGCTTAGGGGCAGGACCTAGACGAGGAACCACTTCCAAAGGAGCTCCATGTGGACTCAGAAACAACCCTCTCTAATTTTTATGTGTTAGCTTGTTTTTTTGTCCCTCTTTTTTGCTAAGAGGAAATTTGGCTAAACCCTTCCTGCCAAATGACCACAGCCCCTGGCTTCTTCCCCATCGGGTCTGCCTGGCTGGGGCCCACAGAGGGGCCCTGTCCTGCTCCAGCCAGTGCACCTGCGTTCAGAGAGAAGCAGGAGGGGAATCAAGTTGTTTCTACATAACCCTGGTGGCCTCCCCATTAAGCCAGGGCTCCTTTGTGAGGCATGGTAAAAATGTGCCCGGGGCCCTCTGGCCTCTCCGGGCTCAAGTCCTACCCCCAAGCTTTAGCCCTGTGAAATTACTAAAGTTTCTGAGTGCAGCAGGATCATACCTAACGCTGGACCTTTGCATACGCTGTGATCTCTGCCCGGAGCTTGGCCCTTACTTGGTAAGCCTTGCCCTTCCCTAAGGGGGCCCCTCAGGAGCTCTTCTTGATGTGTCTGGTTTGGTCTGGGGCCCACCTGCTCTCAGCAGGCTGACTGCGTTCCCACCACAGCCCTGTGGGTTTCCTCTGTGACCCCTGCACGCAAACTCCACGAGGCAGGGACTCCTGTTTTACTTATTGCCTGTCTATTTATCATCCAGCACATAGCAGGCACCCAACGAATACATGCTCATACACAACCCAGTCTATGGGGAAAAGCCCCCAAATTCAACCTCTTTGGGGACAAAGAAAAGATCATGCAAAATAGAACAGCATGTATGTACATGCACTTACTTGTTTCTAATTGTCTGCCCCTTCAGCCAGTGTTCTGGAACATTCTCTCCAACATCTGTGTGTGAGGCTGGGGTTGTCACTTCCACCCCGCACCCCCCTACCTAGGAAGACCCCTGTCATTAGCCCCCAGGAGTGAGCTGTGCTTTTCTACAGCACTCCACAGGCCTGGCCAGAAAGCCAACCCCTGTTCTATGGGCGAAGGGCTGACTTGTCACGCACACCCCAGACAAACCAGTCCTGGAAAACTGGTAAGCAGAACTGAAAGGTAAGCTCTGACTTTGATGCATCGCAAAACACATGCAAAGCCTGTGATTTCGACTGGTTGGCACCAGCAGGGACACCTGTGAGCCCTGGAGGGCACATCCCAGCCCTGTGCACTTCCATCCCGCCTCTGGTCCCCACTCCCAGTGGCCCTTACGTGGCCCTGCTGGAGGCATTGTCCTTGGGCACAGGCCCCGCTCCCGACCCTGTGGCCGCCCGCTTCCTATTATAACGCCGTTGGCTGTTTAATGTTCTTAGGAAAGAAAGGTTAAGTGTTTAAATTATTAGCCTCTTTTACCATTTATCTTCATATTACTCAATGCCGATTTTAAATACGAATATCGGTACGTTGAAGTCATAGGTGGAATCACCAAAATGACATAATTCATGTTTCATAGCTTGTGTGCGCATACGTGTTTTATTCTTATCAGACACTGGGAAACATTGCAGAATATAAACTCATCTGTTTTTGTTTAACTTTGGGCTATGGGAGTTTCCCCCCACAGTTTCTGTTTGACTGGGCTTTCCCGCAGTATCTCCCCACCCCAGATTTGGGGCGGGGGTGAGTGAGGTCCCTGCTATTCCTGGTACGCAGACATTAGGAGGTGGGCTGGGAGAGGTGTTCCAGGGGTTGGTGGAGGCAGTGTGAGGAGGCCAGTCCCTCCTCCGTCCCCCTGTCCATCTCCTTGCTGCTCTGGGAGGTGGGCGGTGGGGCCTGGTCCCCTTGGGCCTGGCACACTGTCGAGCACCCCAGGTTTGGTAGAAAGGAGCCCCTGGTCTGCCTGTCAGCCTGGCCGCACTTCCTAACTCTGTCCTTGGCGCTGCAGCTGTCGCCAGCAGGTCTTGAGAGGTGGTTACTCACTTCCTGCTGCTGGGGCTGGGAAATCCTCAGGGTGACGAGGGGAGGCTGGTTCCTGGCATCCCTCAGACCCTCTTCTCCTGAGATGACCGCTGAGCCATGATCCCCAGGGAGCCATCTCTGTGCAGGCTCCTCTATGTCCCATGAAACCTGGGACCCCCTAGCACAGCCCCCACTGGGGCACCTGGCTGGTTAGCCCCCTGGAGTCCCCTAGGCTGACACAGTACTGAGTCCTCTCCACTCCCCCCTCCCTCCCCCTCACTCCTCCTCCCCTTCATCAGGAAACTGACATGTGGAGGGGGAGTCCAGCGAGGGGTGGAGGTGGGCTTTGGTGGCATGTGCTCTAGCTTCTCCTCCAAGGACTTGAGGGGACTGGGGTGGGGAAGGCTGGGGTGATTGGCTGAAATGTTTGGGGATGTGCAGGGGGTGGGGAGTGGAGGGATATTGTATTGCCCTCCCCACCCCCATCTACCTTCCCAAATTCGAAATTTGGGTTCCATCCCCCCCTCCTTGGCCATCAGAGGTGGCACTGCGGGCCCCTGCTCAGGGGAGACTTAGTAGGGAGGGCTCCTTGTCCAGGATGCCAACTCCTGTCCCACGTGGCTACCAGTAGCTCCTTCACTGCCTAGGGGCTCAGTCTGCACCCCCCTAGCTGACCCTCCCTCACCTGGGCTGCCTCGCCATCCCTCTCTAGCCAGCACCGTGCACCTGC